GATTGCAAGGTTAAATACAAAGGATACTTGCAAATATTTAAGTGCTTATTGCTATATGTTAGACATTGTTTCAAATGCTTTATGTATATGAACTCATTTAATTCTCATGACAATCCATGAGGCAGGTACCATTTTAGCCCTATTTCACAAATATAGAAACAGATCCAAAGTCACCCAGCTAATCAGTGGTACAGGTAGGATTTACAGCCAGGAGATCTGGTTCCAGCTTCTGCTGTGGGAAGTTTCAGAGTTTATAAAGGAATTTACTGTTGTTAGCATTTTTAAAAATTATTTATTTATTTATTTGATAAGCACAGAGAGAGACAGACAGACAGACAGACAGAGATTTTCCACTTGCTGGTTCACTCCCCAAATGCCCACAACACCTGAAGCTAGGTCAGACTGAACCAGGAGGCAGGAACTCCCACATGGTACCAGGAACATAAGCATTTGAGCAACCGCCTGCTGCTTCCCAGGGTATGCATTAGAAGGAAGCTGGGTGGGAAATGGAGCCAGGACTCTCATCAGGCACTCAGATATGGAATGTGGGCATCCTAAGCAGCAACTTTACTGTGCCAAATGCCCACCCCTGTTGTTGGCTTCTTAATAGCGCTCAATCTGTACATTTACTCTGAGCAACCTATACCTTAGTATTAATCATTTTTACAGCTTGATTTATGTATTCATTTAACAGATACCTGTTAGGTATGTTCTATGTACTAGGTTTGGTGTTGCAGATAGTGTTGAGTAAATACCATCCATGTCTCCATAGAGCTTGTACTTAATGGAGGAGGCAGGCAGTTGTCATGTAAATGCCTCATTTCAAACTGTTAGGTTCTGAGAGGAGAACGTGATCTAAGCTGAAGGTAAAAGGGAAGCTTCCCTGAAGAAATACTCGACCTGAAATCTAAAGAATGGATCTTAACCAGGTCAACATGGAAAATGTAAGCACACAGCTAAATAGTCCTGTTATTTAACTCAGACTCTCCTCTTCTTCACCTCCCTCCTCAACTTTTTCTTCCATCCCTTAGTCTTACTCTCAGTAGAGAAGTCTGTGGCTTGGGTAGCTAAAACACACAGGAATCCAACTGTGTCTTTAGATTGTAACATCACACACTTAGGAGCCTGAGTCTGTTTTTCTCCCTGCACTAACCCCAGTGGTGCTAACATCACTTGCCACAGAAAAGGTCCTCCATACATTTTGAAAGGAACAATTAATTAGTTCATCAGGTGTACAGAAAATAAAAGGGAGTTATAGGGAGGCATCTCAGGATGAGGAGGAGCTTTCTACAATTAGACATGTTCAAAAATGGAAAGCAGCCTGGTATGTTAGAAACATCTCTGGACTTTGAAAAAAATTAGCTGCTTGCTAGATTTTACCTTGGACAAGTCACTTACTCTCAAAACCTTAGCCTCCTTATCTATTTTTTAAAAAAAAAAAAGATAGTATTTGTCCTCCCTAATTCACAGGTTTGTTGTGAGAGTAAGATAAAATAATCTAAGTAAAATGATATAAAGTGTGCCATTAAATATATTTTTATTATCAGTGTGGAATAGTGTACTCTCGGTCCAACTGGTACCATACACTCTATTTGTGATGTTATGTACTGAAGATTCTGAGGTCTGCGGTGGACATCTGAACTAAATGACTCGAATCCCTTCCAATTCAGATATGCGATAATTGTGACAGAGAAATCTATTGTTTAACCATTTCTGTAAGTTGTATTTTAATGTTTGGAATATGTAAAGCTAAGTTAAAATACTGAGATATTAGATAAAAATTATGTAAATCAGAATGCAAGAAATACCCAGAAGCTTATTTTTCAATGATGGATGGAAATCTTAAACTAAAATCTCTGTGTAATTCTCTAGGAAGTCGAAAAATCCAAATGTCTGCTTTCCCCTTAGAATTTTTGAATTCTCGATGTGTCTGCTTTGCAGCCATGTTTACCAAGCTGCAAGAAGAAAACAGGCCCCTTGAACTAAAATGTCCATGAGTGGGGCTTTAAGGAATCTCAGATTACTAGGAAGGTCCCAGACACTTAGTGACTCCCTAGCAATTTGAAGATCCTGCTGGCTACTGACATTAGTTTGCATGGAAACTGAAATTTATTTCAGCTCTTTTGAAAGAGTGAAGAAGCGACAGATCCAGTGGCTGTTTCAGAACAACAAAGAAGGGTTGGGTGCCTCTGGCTTCTAACAGAAGTGTCTCTGAATTCCTCAAGGAATTCCAGGCCTAGGGTAGATCCAGCTGGCAGGAGGTATCGATCTCCACTTGAATTCACTGAATAAATAATGGTTGCCATAGTTATTGAGCAGTTGCCACTGGTTGAAGAGCAGGGAAAAACTCCGTGGAACCTTCTGTGACTTTGGACATGAGAAAGCCTGGTTACAAGGTTCCACAATCAACCCCCTCCGGAAATTCCGCCAACATACTGCTCACATTCACAAAGGACCGAATTCCATCTTGTTCTGTTTTAACATTGCTATACAAACAGAATTCACCTGGACATTTTTTTTAAAAATGGAAAAAGTCATCCAGTTATCCTGCAAATATTTTCAATTTTTTGTTTTCTTTCAGCCTTCATTATATGTAGAAATAATTTTTACATAGATGTAATCACAGCTTAGATACAAGTGAATATTCTCCTCTTTATTTAATGTACTTTTCCATGTTGCCTTCCTAATTGTTCTTTTTGATGCTTACAGAATCATCATTACAAGGACATACAATTATTTACTTAACAGTTCCCCTATTCTTCAACCCTTTGTCATTTTCCATTTGTTTGGTTTTGTTTGGGGAGGGAGATTGGTAGTACATAATGCTACACCACATGTCTCCTTGTATACAGTGTTATTTTTCTGTTGAATTTTTCCTTTGGATAAATTGCCGAGAGTGAGATTACTCAGTCAGAAGCTATGAACGTTTTATAGCTCTTAAAATTTACTGCCACATTTGCAACCTGATTTTCTGCTTTTGGGGAAAATAATAAAAAACTTTAGGTGAATATCACTGTAGGAAGGATTTCTCCTGAAGTTCACTCTTGGATGCTTCTGCTCAGACTGAAACACAGAAGCTAGGCATTTAGTAAAGATAAGCCAAGGAGACAGGTTTGCACCTGGGCTGATTAGCTAATAGTTTGCTGGGGAAAGCAAAATTATGCACAGCGAATCTTGGGAATTAGGGGACTTTTGTTTGACCTTGCAGTTGCCAAGTGTCAGGTCTTGTCCAGGCACTGACTCTCCATGTGTGTAGTACTCTACAGCTGACAGAACATTTTCATATTACATCATTGTAGTTGAGCCTTAACAGCCCATCTAGTGAGGATGGGTTTCATTCAAATTGCCTTTTTTCTTTTAGTTTATTGCATGATGTTTGATATCTACAGGAAGAATACAAGACTTGTATATCTACCATCCTGTGGTCCCCACTTTCCTATAAGGACATTGAGCCTTAGAGAGATTAGGTTGCTTATTATGTGACAACCAGAACTAGAATTCAGGTCTATTTAACTCCAAGTCCAGTGGCCCTTACTTTAAGAATGTTGCATTGAGATATGAAATGACTGCAAGTTAAAATCCACTGAGATGCTGCTGGCGATTGTCATATACTTTTAATACAATTATAACGCATCAGACCTGGAACAGACTTCAGAAGTCATTAAATCCAGCGTCCTTACTTTCCCGGGTCCTAGAAAGGGAGGAACTTGCCCAAGTCATACACAAGCTGGAGAGAATGTAGATTTCCTGGTTCCCAGGTCTCTTTTGTTTGGGAAGAGAAAAGAAAAATGTCTGAATAGTTGCTTCATTTTTCTGATTGGCTTTTGCTTTAAGGAAATAACTTCTCTAACAAAGATATTCCCACTGAAAAAATTTTAGGAAAAATTGAAACTAATGCTTGATTTCCCATTAGAAGGATGCTTTCTGTTTCTCAAAAAATATGAATTTTATGTATGAATACACTGAGAGAAGAAAACTTTGAGATAACTAAGGCCAACTTCTTTCCTTAGAAAGAGGTTCAATATCTAAATTCTGAGGGAGAGTCAAGTGATTTGTACTGGATGTTGTATTCCTTTCTCATTACAGGGAGATAAGTCATTGTCGTGGAATAAGAAGCTAGAATCTGCCACAGAAGGCTGGGTTAAAATCCTAGCTTTTAGCAGCTGTGTGACTTTGGGAAAATCATTGAACCTTATACACAAAATAGGTCATACTGCTTAATGTGGGGATGTTATTTTATATATTAATTTGTAAATTATCAGAGTGCTATTCATGTCTTGATATGTTATAAAATGCCTGCACCACATACTTCTGGGTGTCCTCCTCTTCTCTTCAACTTTCGCATCTCCACAGCGGGAGAACATGTGTGTTTTATACAGAGTGCCATGTGAAGACAGAAAAGGGAAAGCAAAGCTAGGTTCTTCAGAATGCTAGTGAGCATGACAGCACAAGAATGCACTTTGAATTGTGTCTTCTGGGGCAGCTGCTGCATTAGCAGATAGAATTTACAGCCTCCTTCCTCCCTCAAGTGAGTGTCAAGATGGGAACATTAATTCATTTGCCTTGATATGTTTCTGAAAAAACCATATCCACTCTGAAAAAGGGCTTTTGTGAGACCTTGGTAGAAGAATGTGTGCACAATAACAACCATCCTGTTGTGAATTCATGTGCCAGGAACTGTGTGCTCCTACCTGAGTTATTCAACTAAGATGGCCCTCCCAGAAACCCTGAGTTGAGTATGATCGTTATCTTTATCTCATAAGGAAACTGTGGCTCAGAAATTAGGAGACTTATGCAGGGGCATGCAGCAAATTACTGGCAAGGCTGAGATTCAAACTGCGGAGTTGTTTGATACAAAAGCCCATGAAGTACCTTTCCGAGTGAGGGCACTTTGGTTGTAAAATGACAGAATGGGATGCAGCCCCTCCATTGGGGATTCCAGTTTCAAAGGTTCAAAGATATATATGCCTCCTAAACTTACCCTTTTTGTCCCTTTGCAGAACGACATGGGTTAAAAGAACCAAAGAGAGTGGAAGAGCTATGCAACAAGATCACAAGCAGCTTAAAAGACCACCAGAGTAAGGGACAGGCTATGGAGCCCACCGAGTCCAAGGTCCGGGGCGCCCTGGCAGAACTGAGGAAAATCTGCACCCTGGGCCTCCAGCGCATCTTCTACCTGAAGCTGGAAGACTTGGTGTCTCCACCTTCCATCATCGACAAGCTCTTCCTGGACACCCTACCTTTCTAAGCAGGAGCGGCCTCATCTGCGGACACCTGCTTGCTAAACAGCAAAGGGATGGGTTTGGACACTACCATTTGCTGTCCTTCTTAAATGAAAGAGAAGCTCCTGTAGAAAGCAAAGACTTTTTTTTTTCTGGCACTTTTCCTTGCAACCTAAAGCCAGAAAACTTGCAGAGTATTGTGTTGGGGTTGTGTTTTATATTTAGGCTTTGGTGGGTGGGGTGGGAGTGGGGTGTAGTTCATGAAGGTTTTCTAAGAAATTGCTAACAAAGCACTTTTGGACGATGCTATCCCAGCAGGAAAAAAAAAAAAGGATAATATAACTGTTTTAAAATTGTTTCTGGGGAATACAATTATAGTTGGTCTGTATTTAAAAACAAGAACAGCCAAGGGTTGTTCGCCAGGGTAGGATGTGTCTTAAGATTGATCCCTTTAGAATACATTTCCTGTGTTGAGGGTATGTATGTGGTGCAAACAAGGCAGAAATTCCCTTAATTTCTTTCTTCCTTTGATTTGTTTTAACTAATGGTGAAAATGGAAGATTACCTACAAATCAGACATAGCAAAATGATAATGGCTGTTCGCTTCCATATACAAGTGCAATTCTTTAAAGTGCTGTCTTACTAAGTCTTGTTTATTAACTCTCCTTTATTTTATATGGAAATAAAAAGGAGGCAGTCATGTTAGCAAATGACACGTGCTGATTTTCCAAGTAGAGGCCTGGTTCACCTGCCCTGTAGAACCTTTGTGAGGTATGGCCCATCCAAGACATTTAGGCCATTCACGATGGAACCAGATTCTTGCCCTGGCTGTCCAGTTGTTCTGATGGGGGATCAGATTATAAAATGGATTAATACAGTTGTTTTGGTTGTGTGGGATCAGCACTGCCAGAGTTCCCTAAATGCGTCTCAGTTGTCATGATTGATAACATCCGATCAGAAGCCCCACGAGTGCTGAGTCAGTCAAGTATTTGATCCCCATGTGAGAATATGCAAATCAGTAGGCACTCGGTCATACAGGGTAAGCACCAGGGATAATAAGGATTTATATATATATATATATATAAAATTTAAATTTTGTTATTGGTTCAAGAGACAATTTTGGAGAGCAAGCAAGTCTTTTAAAAATATATATAAATGAATGTGAGTACTAGAAAAGATTAGTGGGCTGCGTTTCAACATTCCGTGTTCGTACTCCCTTTTGTATGTTTATACTGTTAATGCCATATTATTATAAGATAATTTGTTGCATAGTGTCCTTATTTGTATAAACATTTGTATGCACGTTATATTGTAATAGCTTTGCCTGTATTTATTGCAAGACCACCAGCTCCTAGAAGCTGAGTTACAGAGTAATTAAATGGGGTGTTCACAGTGACTTGGATACACCAATTAGAAATTAAATTAGCAAATATATATATAAATATAGCAGGTTACATATATATATTTATAATGTGTCTTTTTATTAACCATTTGTACAATAAATGTCACTTCCCATGCCGTTATTTTATGGTTCATTTGCAGTGACTTTTAAGGCAGTACTGTTTAGCACTTTGATATTAAAATTTTGCTTATGTTTTGCTAAATTTGAATGTTTGAAGATTTTTAGGTCTAAAAGTCTTTATATTATATACTCTGTATCAAGTCAAAATATCTTTGGCCATTTTGCTAAGAAACAAACTTTGAATGTCTAACTGATGTCATGGTAGTTTTTGTTAGCTTTAAATCATTTTTGCTTTAGTGTTTTTAAAGGAAAAATAACAAAACTATGCTGTTTATATTGTCATTAAATTATACAAACAAATGCCAAATGAATTGCCTAACTGCTGCAAAATATAACCCAGATAGAAAATCGTATACTCTTTTTTCCAAGAGTCATTCTGATATTTGATCATGTATTATGTTTGTGTGAGCTTTATGAAAGATTATTATTTTTATATCAAGATTATAGGACCTGGAATGTTAGGATTTTGAAATGTTAGACTTGGAAGGGGCCTGACCTGTCAACTAGTCCAACCCCCTGAAATCCATAGAGGAGAAAACTGGAGCCCATTGATAGGTAAAGAGTTAACCAAGGTTGGATACCTAGCAACAGAATCAAGACTAAGACCTAATTCACCTTTCCATAGTCCTTTTTTTTTCTCAACTGACTGCATCTTTAGGAAAACAGCTTTTTAAACATAACCACTAATATTTACATTTTACCTAAAGGTAACCATGAGCAAAGTAATACTTTTGCATTAATTTTCTGAGCTTATATGCAAACATAATAAACATTATTAAATATCAGGAAAGCTAACATTTCATACAAGATAGCTTCAGACCAAATTCAAATTGAATTTGAATAAATTAGAAATACTGTGCATACATAACCTTCTTGTGCACCATTAGTATTTAGAAAGTTAATCCTTGTTTTTGTCATGTCTCTAAAGGAAAAGCAAATCAAAACAAAACAGAAAACCCCAGAGCCCTAGAGAAATGCTGTTACTTTTTCTTTTTTACACTTATCAGATTTAAGGAAATGACTTTTTAGCTGTTGAATCTTTTGGTTGGAAGGAATGAAAAAGCTTATTTAGTTATAGGTCCAGACACTAGTGCTGAAAAAAAGATTATAGCCAGTATTCTTCTGTCTTCCATAGTTATTACAACTATGAGAGCCTCCCAAATTATCTATCAATTCAACTCTCTTATTTTTGTCTTAATGTTGACACACAAATTTATACAGAGTGGGTGACTACACTAGCTCAGAGAGGACTAGTATTAAAGCAGGTGATTCTTCCCCTTGTGGGAGAGCTCTCTCAGTGTGAACATCGTCCTGTGGGCAGAAATCAGGAATCCACCAGCTGTTAATGGAGAGTGCCTTGCTTTTATTTCATACCGCAGAGTTTTCCCAAGTTTCTCTGCTCCTCTAACAGCATTGCTCTTTCGTGTGTGTTAACCTGTGGTTTGAAAGAAATACTCTTGTACATTAACAATGTAAATTTAAATGATTAAATTAAATTACATTTTATCAATGGCTACTGGTGTGTTGAATAAGCATGCTTCATTTAACAGTTTTCTCTGAGTCGTTTATATAATAGTATTTGCTTGTGAACTCTTAAACACATCCCCAAATGGATTTTTTAAAAGGCTTAGTAACACTGAAAAATTAATAGGCATTCTAAAGTGAAAATATATTAAACCTTACTGATTGGGAAGAAGCACATTCTAAATTCAATAGCCATTTATTGACTACTTCCTAGGGCAAAGCACTGCTGGATGTTTTGAGGAGATACAATTATGTACAGGGTCTGAAACTCCAATTTTCTTTCAACTATATGTAGTGTAAATGGAGCTGCTAATTTGTTGCCAAAAAGTATCCCTTCAAATATGAAGGATTAATTGTTACATCAAGATGATAGGATATCAATAGTGAACCCGAATTTCCAAGGATCAAGGTAGTTATCAGAGATGGGTCAGTGCTCTCTGCCTTTTTGTTTAAGCCATTCCCACTGCCTTGCTTAGAAATCTCTTTTGTGAAAAATGTAAATGAAACTCTTACTCAACTCTACCGAAAATATCACATATTCTGAGTGAATGCAAAATGCTTTATGTGTTGCTGGCTCAAAAGTATAAGTGTGGGAGCTCTCATGATTGACTTCTTCAGTTTATGCATATGGTGACATCTGTGACATCTAAGTACTGTGTGTACGTGGTCCTGGAATCAAACCCTTCATCCTGCGTTTCAACAGCACACTCATTACTTCAACTATAAAATACAATGAGAAAGGAATGAGGGATACACATATGAGTTCATCTTGCACATGAATTCAAATATGGGTGCCTGGCCAAAAAGAACAAAAAAGGCAGGAGGGGCAGCAAGGAGAGGGTTGAGTCTCTTGTCTGGGAAAAGGACAGGAAGGTCAGGGCTAAGTGAGGGGCACTTACTTGTAGTTGAATTTAAGTTAAATGCATGAAGATAAACACATGAAGATAACTTGATTGACCTTTTAAAAAATTGTAATGCACATAGCATAAAATTAGCCTTTTTTCTTTTTTTTTTCTTTTCTTTTTTTTTTAATTTGAGAGGCAGGGAGGAAGAGATACAGGCAAGCAGAGCTCCCATCTGCTGGTTCACCCCACAAATGCCCACAAAGGCCTGCCAAGCTCTATCTGATATCTGGGAACTCAAGCCAAGTCTCCCACATGGATGGTAGGGACCCAACTATTCAGGCTGTCACCTGTTGCCTTCTAAGGTATGCATTAGCAGGAAGTTAGAATCCAGAGTGGAGTTAGGACTCAAATCCAGGTACTCTGATATGGGATGTAGGCTTTTAACTGCTAGGCCAAACACCTTCCCCCACATTTGTCATTTTAAACATTTTTAAGTGTACAGCAAGTATAAGTAGTATTAAGTAAATTCACATTATTGTGCAACAAGTCTATATCTTGCAAAACTTAACTATATACATTAAACATGTCCCATTTCCCCATTCCACAACTTCTGGCAACTGCCATTCTACCTTCTGTTTCCAGGAATTTGACTATTTATGAATTTGACTATTTATATAAATGGGTCATATAGTATTTATCTTTGAATAAATGCCTTATTTCACTTAGCATAATATGCTCAGGTTTATCCATGTTGTACTGTGGCGTGTGTCGGAATTTCCTTCCTAGGGTGGTCATTTGGCCTAGCAGTTAAGGATGCCAGTATTGCATATTCCCACATTAGAGTCCCCAATATTAAGGTGCTTGAGTTCAATTCTCAGTTTTGGCTCCTGATTCCAGCTTCTGGCCAGTGAAGACCCTTGGAGGCAGCAGGTGATGGCTGAAGTAGTTGGATCCCTGCCACCCACATGGAAGTCCTAGATGGAATTTCCTGCTCCTGGCCCCAGCCCAACACTGGATGTTGCAGGCATTGGAGAATAAACCAGTGAATGGTAGCCCTTGCTGTCTGTCTACCTTTTTCCCTCTGTCTTTCAAATATACAAATAATTTTTAAAAGAATTTCCTTCCTGTTTAAGGCTGAATAATATTCCATTTTATAAATATACCACATTTTGTGTATTCATTTATCCACTGATATTCATTTCACTTGCTGCTACCTCTTGGCTATGTGGATTACATTGCTGTGAAGATGGGTATTTAAATATCTTTTGGATATCATGCTTTCTATCCTTTTCACTAATTTAGTTGGTTAGGGGCTTAAGTATGATTTCAGGGCTTTCCAAGAATAATCTTTAATATGTGTTTATTTGGGTTTCTCTCCTTCAGCACTGATTTCAGAGTCTTACCATTTTTTTTGTTTGTTTCAGGAGGCACCTGAAGCTGCTTCACAGGCAAGGATATTCAAAAACCTTTGTTCTAAGGCTTAGCTAAAAACTGAAAGGACTAAAATCTAAGAGGCTTAATACTTGTCCAAATACTTTTCTTTGAGCCCAGCTGGCTGAAAATCTCATCAAGTTTCAAAGGGGGATTTTCGTGCCTTCTATTATTTAACATCCCTCACCATGAACAAAATCCTTCTTCAATGTTGTCTCAGTTGCACGGTGACATTGACCTAGGCAATACTTCTGTGTTCTGTGTGCCCTGTGTAAGCTCACTGTCACTTCTGTTTTGCTTTTCCTATCTGAGACCCACTTCATGGCTCCATTAGTGATCCCAGGATCATCAGTCCCCTGATTGCCTACTGTGGTCCTAGCCATCACCCATGTGGGGTCTTTAAAGGCATTTGATCTGAGGGGAAGACAACAGAGACCTAACATTCAATAAGCATGTACCGTGTGTGCCAGATGCTCTTTTAAACACATTCACCCTTGGTCTCATTTAATGACTGCTACTTCTAAGATGTTGCTATCTCCAGTCTGAAAATGGAGAAAGAGGCTCACAGAGGTTAAGTTCCTAACCCTAGATCCCTAGTGAATGGGATTTGAGCACACGCAATATGGCTCTACCACCCCTGACTGCCTTCCTGGAGCTTAGCCATTCAACTCATTCTCCTTCCCAGAACACAGAGGTCATTTAACCCCAGATCCTTGCTCATTAGCAAATGGTAAGAAGTCTACCAGAGCACCATAGCTACTAGCCAATATTCTGATTCAATCTCATTTTTTCTTCCTGTCAAACTTATCACCTGTCTTAATTCTTCAAACTCCTTAACTCCACAAGGTCCCATTATTCTGTCTCCACAGTGTTCGAATTATGTCCCTCACCAGCCATAAATCCTTGTAATAACAAAGCCCTGCTCCATTTTGGAGTCCCTTTCTGATGCGCCCTCCACCCCCAAACACAAACATTCTTGCAGCAGATGTTGTAGTGCAGCAGGTTAAGCCATACATTCTCTACTTTCAGAGTGGACTTTAATTATTATGCAGTCCCTCAAAAGTGTTCCCTGGCATGGAAAGCTAAGACACTCTGGCAAAAAAAAAAAAAAAAAAAAAAAAAAAAAAAACCTAAATTAAAGATCTCCATGAGTGAGATCCCAGTGGAAAGAACAGGTCATCAAAGAAGGAGGTACCTTTCTCTGAAGGGAGGAGGAGGGAACTTCCACTTTGACTACGACCTTGTCTAAATATGATCAGAGTCAGTGAACTCAAAAGGCTTCCATAGCCTTGGCAACTCATGACAAGAGCCTAGGGTGATTACTGATGCCATAAACAAGAGTGTCAATTTGTTAAGTCAACAACAGGAGTCAGTGTGCACTTACTCCTCATGTAGGATCTCTGTCCTTAATGTGTGCTGTACATTGTGATTTAATGCTATAACTAGTACTCAAACAGTATTTTTCACTTTGTGTTTCTATGTGGGTGCAAACTGTTGAAATCTTTACTTAATATATGCTAAACTGATCTTCTGTATATAAAGAGAATTGAAAATGAATCGTGGCCGGCGCCGCGGCTCACTAGGCTAATCCTCCACCTAGCGGCGCCAGCACACCGGGTTCTAGTCCCGGTTGCCCCTCTTCCAGGCCAGCTCTCTGCTGTGGCCAGGGAGTGCAGTGGAGGATGGCCCAAGAGCTTGGGCCCTGTACCCCATGGGAGACCAGGAGAAGCACCAGGCTCCTGCCTTCGGATCAGCGCGGTGTGCCGGCTGCAGTGCGCCAGCCGTGGCGGCCATTGGAGGGTGAACCAATGGCAAAGGAAGACCTTTCTCTCTGTCTCTGTCTCTCTCTCTCTCACTATCCACTCTGCCTGTCAAAAAAAAAAAAAAAAAAAAAAAAACGAATCGGGATGTGAATGGAAGGGGAGAGGGAGTGGGAAAGGGGAGGGTTGCGGGTGGGAGGGAAGTTATTGGGGGGGGCATTGTAATCCATAAGCTGTACTTTGGAAATTTATATTCATTAAATAAAAGTTAAAAAAAAAAAAAAGTGTTCCCTGCTTCCATCCAATCTCCCAACTTCCAAGTGATTTAAAATTTCCACACGAAGTCCAAATTGTCCTTCTTCATACTCAACAACCAACTTTCTTTCCCTTTCTGGGCACTTTCACCAAACCCACAAAGACCAAAAGCACTGCCCCTAAGATCTTTCTTTGTGGCAGCTGTAAGATGCTGAAACAACGCAAACAACCAGGCAATCTCTGCTCATCTTGGAGCTGTTTTTTCCCTAGGAGCTTGGACTTCATCTTGCCCTTTGCATATGTCTCTAACACTCTTTCTACCATTCATTCCCAAAACCTTCATTTCTTCCCACCGACTGCCCCATTCTTGCTCATTTTTTTCTGCTAGTATTAAATCAATTGCTTAGAATTACACAAAGGTGTTTTTAGTTGCAGTCATATGCCCCTTAACAACATTTCCATCGATGGTGGACCACGTATACAACAGTGGTCCCATAAGATTATAATAGAATTGAAAAAGTTCTGCTGCCTACTGATGTCATACCTGTTGGAATCATCAAAACATCTTAGCATGATGCATCACTCACATGTTTATGCTGATGCTGGTGTAAACAAACCTACTGTGGTGCTAGTTATGTAAAAGTACAGCACATAAAATGATATATAGTACATAATGCTTAGAACTGATAAGAAATGACT